TCAGTGTTGAACAGCATCTGGTTCTGGTCCACCCATTTTACTAATCTATCTAGGTCCAACTGGTCTGCCAGCCTACTCTGATGCGTGGCCACACTTCCCCAAAGCTTAGTGTCATTGGCGCACTTTACCAGTGTGCTTTTCACCCCCACATCAAGATCATTGATAAAGATATTGAAAAGCATTTGTCCAAGTACCAAACCCTGGTGGACCCCAGTGGCTACCTTCTGCCAGGTCGACACAGATCTGTCTATTAGTAATCTCTGGGTCCAACTCCACAGTCAGTTTCCCTCCCATCTGACCATTGAATTGTTGAGCCCACAGTCCCCTAGTTTTACTTTGAGAGCCTCATGGGACACCAAGTCAAAAGCCTTCCTAAAGTCCAAGTAAATGACATCGACCTCATTTCCCTTATCTAGGTGGTAAGTAACTTGGTCGTAGGTTTCATAGTTTCATAGTAGTAGTTAGGGGTCATAAGGGACCCGAATAGATCATCTAGTCTAACCCCCTGCCACTGGTTGGAGCACACGCTGAGATCACATGACCCCAGACACGTGTTCATCCAACCTTTTTGAATTTACCCAAGGTAGGAGCGAGGACCACTTCCCTAGGTTCAACAAGGACAAGTACAAAGTCCTGCATTTAGGACAGATCAATCCCATGCCCCAGTACAAGCTGGGAGCTGACTGGCTTGGGAGCAGCTCTGCAGAAAAGGACCTGGGGGTTAAAGTGGACAATAAGCTGAATATGAGCCAGCAGTTTGCCCTTGTTGCCAAGAAGGTAATGGTATACTGGGCTGCATTGGTAGCAGTGTTGCCAGCAGGTCAAGGGAAGTGATTATTTCCCTCTATTCAACACGGGTGAGGCCACATCTGGAGTATTGTGTTTTGACTTCCCCCGACTACAGAAAAGATGTGGACACATTGGAGAGTCCAGCAGAGGGCAACGAAAATGGTGAGGGGACTGGAGCACGTGACTTCTGCGGAGAGGCTGAGGGAACTGGGCTTAGTTTAGAGAAGAAAAGACTGAAGGGGGATTTGATAGCAGCCTTCAATTACCCTACGAGCAGACCCTACGATGACAGCCTGACTTCTATCCCAGGGAAGATCTTAGAAAAGTTTATTAAAGAGGCCATCCTTAATGGACTGGCCGACGCCAATATCTTAAGGGATAGCCAGCACGGGTTTGTTGCGGGTAGGTCTTGCTTGACCAATCTCATTTCCTTCTATGACCAGGTGACCTATCACCTGGACAAAGAAGAGATTGATGTCATATATCTTGACTTCAAAAAAGCCTTCGATCTGGTTTCCCATGATCGCCTCTTGGAGAAACTGGCCAATTGTCGCCTTGGGTCCTCCACAATCCACTG